CAGACAGACTCTCACCAGACTAACTCTAACCCACAATGACAGCAACTGAACACTCTGAATTCCTTAGGGTGGTGCCAGTCTCCTTCTCTTAACTTTCACACACTCCAGTTGAGGGCTGAGGAGATGCTTGAGATTCTTTCCCCCTCTCTATGACCTTGGACCTCCGTGCCACGATCCTCCTTGCTCAAGCCTTCCATCACATCAGAAGAATTATGGCATGAACTTAAAGAAGTCATTAAGGATGAATGTGAAAAGAGACTACCAAAAATGAAGAAAGAGAAGAAAACAAACTGGCTGACAGAACAAACCATGGAAATTGCCAAGAAGAGAAGAGAAGCCAAAGCCAAGAAAGACAAAAAACTCAGAAAGGAACTTAACAAAGGGTTTCAGAGAGCTGTTAGAAGAGACAAGAAGCAGAATTACAACATCTGTAAAGACATAGAAGATGGAAACAGACATGGAAAAACCAGGAGAGTCTTTCAAAAGATCTCTGAATTCAGAAGGAGGTTCCAACCTCAAATTGGTATGCTAAATGAACACATAGTAGCTGATTCAAAGGAGATCAAAGGAAGATGAAAGGAGTATACTGAAAGACTGTACAGTAGAAATGTCAACATCCAAGATACCTTAAAAGATATTTCCTACTTGCAAGAACCTCTAGTACTAGAAGATGAAGTTAGTTCAGCACTCTGGGCATTACCAAGTTGGAAGGCTACAGGAACTGATGGAATGCCCACTGAAGTATGACAAGCAACAGAAGAAGATTCAGTAAAGGTTCTAACCAAGTTATGCCAGCAAATCTCGGGAATGACACAGTGGCCAAAACATTAGAAGAGGTCAATCTACATTCCACTACCAAAAAAAGGAGACGTAACAAAGTGTGCAAACTATTGTACAATATCCTTAATTTCACATGCTAGCAAAATAATGCTTAGGATCACCCAACACAGAATAGAGCCCTACATGGAAAAAGAGATGCCAGACATTTAAACTGGCTTTAGAAAAGGCTGAGACCTTATTGCTGATATACAGCTTTAATCCTGAGAAAGGTAGAAGGAAAGAGAAGAGGACAACCAGCAGCAATCAATCAATGAGATGGTATTGAAAAAATTCTCTATTCTATTATTTTAAAAAACTCCCCGTATATACATAAAATATCCATTTTCACAATCCAAATTAGGATGTGTCCTAATTTAGCAAAGATCTTAGATACTTCAGACAATAATATATCTATTCATGGATTTTATGTAATTTTAATGCATTTTATGTCTTTTTAAAGTTTTGTTAATAATAATTACAGGTTTATGTATTTTATTGTTGTGCTCTCTGGCCTAAAGGCTGTAATAAAGACTTGATTGATGTTTAGATTTCAAATTTCTTCACCTTTTACCATCAAAGTTTTTTTCTTCATTTTTCTATAGACTGTTACAAAATTCTGATGTTTACACTAATGCCAAATATTTCCAAACATTTATGTATCCAATATGTTGGAGAGAATCAAATGCTTTTTTAATATCAATCCAAGTAATTTGTAAGTTGGCTTTTCTTTGCATGGAGGGTTGTGTGTGTGTATGTGTTATTTTAACCATCAGTAATTGATGTTTTCTTGCTTGTGAATTTCAGCAGTTACCTCTTTGTTCAGGTCAGTACAACGAATTTTTGAATATGTAACTTGAAATTGCATCTGCTAATATGCTACTTAGCAATTAGAGTATTGCTGGCAAGCAAGTAATTAGTTTGTAATTGCTTGCAATTACACTCTTGTCCCTGTCTTTTATTATTAAAAATGTTGTACCAGTCATCATCTATTCTTCAGCTTTTCCAATGTGTAACATTTCATTACACTGAGTAGCCAATCTTTCAGATAGAATCATGGGAGGTTAAGCCAAAATCCAATACTTTGTCTTTTTCTGGTGTGCTCCAGTTCTTAACCCTGTTTGCTTGTGTTTTTGAAATCATTTTTGATGTTACAACCGTATCATCCATTTTGACTGAGTCAAAGTTCTTCTCAGTTTCTTTTATCTATTTTGCATCCTTATTGGATTCTTTTAGATTATCTCAGATGTCATTTCAAAATCTTAATTTTTCCTTATCAGGGCAAATACATCTATATTTGTAGTGTTTCCCAGCAATGCTTTATAAAACAATATTGGGTTCTTCAAAAATTCTGATTTTGTTGAAATAAAACCATTCTATCTTCATAAAAATTGCATAAATAAATAAATAAACAAAATAGTAATTTTCCTTTGAAATAGCCAAAACATTATCTTAATTCTTCTGAGACTTCTTTAATCATCTTAGTGCCAAGATTATATTTTTGCTGTGCATCTTTTGCCATGTTAAGGGGGCTTGTGTGCTTCAATGACACCAGGAGCTATGTTGGTGGTAGCTTACCTACTGTAGGTTCAACCATACTGAACGGGTCTTGGTGGAGGGGCCAGGCAAAATAACCCAAAGTATTTTGAATTTGATATTGCAGTATTGGCATCTTTTAACACTTGTGCTAGCTGTTTCTTTGTAACAAGCTTCAATGCAGG